CATAGAGCCCAGGGAGGAAGTGGCCTCTCGGTGCCGCTGAGCATCCCGGCTCACCACTGTGGGCTAGCTCTTGGTTCATCTGGGGCTTATTTTAGTCTCCTTTGGTCCCTCTGGACATTTCTTCCATTTTCAGTGTGCACATTTCCCATTTCTTTATCCGTTTCATCCATAGACATTTGATACCATCAGTATTTTTTGCAAATGTTTTTAGGTTTTCAGTTTCTAAACATTCATTTCCAGCATGTAGACATAACAGCTGTTGTTAGTTTGGAATGTTCATGTTTTATTCCGCAACCTGGCTAAATTCAGTGTATGAATTCAATATGTGTAGATTCCACAGGGTTTTGTTGTTGTTTGTTTATTTGTTTTGGACCAAGGTCTTACGTTCTCTGGCTGTTGGGGAACTCGCCATTGGCTCTGACTCAGACTTCCTCCTGCTTCCCCCTCCTGGGCGCTGAGGTCACAGAGGGAGCCACCATTTCTTCTAAAATGTTAAACAGTGATTTCATTGCTTGAGCATAGAGATGAGTTTGTACAGCTGGGGAAACGCTGCTGGTGATTCATTTTCCCCAGGATGAGAGATAACCTAAGTGATACTGGGTGGATGGATGGGTTCACCTCTTTATCATTCAGAACCATCCTAATGGTAGGAGTTCTTCCAACCCAGGGATGCATTTTTAAGATTCAGCTCTGGCTGCTTTTGAACTTGTGATCTTCCTGTCTTTGCCTCCTGAGTGTTGGGTCTACAGACAGACACCACTTATCATGCCTGGCTGGACCAAGGCTTCTTTAACTTTCCCATAATGCATAGGGAGCTATGTATTGTGAGTCCTTCAAGGTCACACTGATTGGTGATCAGTTTATAAACCTGCTCCTTCCTGTCACCAGATGTCAGTTTCAGCCAAGTGAAGGCACTGTTGTGACAGGGCAGGACTGTGAACACATGGCTGGCTGTGGCAACGGTCAGACAGAAATCCTCATGTGGGTTATCCTGTTGATGCTAATAGAACTATTCTTTTGTTGTTGGTGGTGGTTATTTGTTTACTCTTTGAGGCAATGTCTCTCTATGTAGCCCAGCTGGCCTCAAACTCAAAGGAGATTTTCCTGCTTCTGCCTCCTGAGTGCTGGGATTAGGCACACCCGTTATCCTGTCCAGAAACAGACATCCTTTGTGGCTTTAATGTGTTTTATTTCTTTTTGTGCCTCCCCACCCCTCTCTCTTTACCTTACTGTATTAAATGTCCCCACCGATGCCCCCTCCAGCCCCAGTGCAGTGTCGAACAGACCCAGTGGGTGGACATCCTTGCTCCCTTCCCAGCAGGGGGCATTCAGCTTTTCCGCACCAGGAATGACTTTAACTTCCATTTATAGTTCAAGCTGAACTTAGATCTCAATTTTCTGACTTTTAAATTTTTTGTTGTCAAGAATGAAAGCTGAATTTTGTCACATGGTGCTCTCTTGGTTGGTTTAATTGCATCTGTGATATCTTACACTTTTTTTAAAATAAAAAAAAAATCTGTTAAAGTGATATAATACACACGGGCTGTATTATTGGTGTAAAAATAAATCTTTCGTTCCTGGGATGAAGCCGACTTGGCTACGGTTTCCTTTTTTTGTTTGTGCATTATTACAGAGTCTGCATGCAGGTCATTGGTCTGTATGCTTCCTCTGAGGTGTTGTTATTAGCTTTGGTATCGGAATGGACGTGACTGCAGAGGGTAAATTCAGCACCTTCTCACATAAGATCATGTAGGGACTCCTGTGAGAACTTGTTCTGACCCGAATGGTGTTCCCTCACCATGGGGAAACCTCTTTGGCACTTTAGCTCAGTGCTTCAGAATGTGTCTATATTTGCAGAGTACCTTCAAAGGGGTGACTGAGTTCATGAGTGTGGGCCCTAACCCACAAAAACAAAAGTCACAAAGTCACCCCACAGTGTCTCTTCGCACCCATCTTTGGGAACAGCTTAGGTTTGTATCTGGGTTTGCTCTCCCACAAGTGGAATTTCTGGGTGGACCAGTTTATTATTCACTATTGAGCACTTGGAGCTTGGAAGAGGAAGGTGGGAGGGGAGGAGCTTGCCCCTCCCTCCCCGGGAGGATGGGGCCTGTCTGACTTGTACCTCCACTAGAATTTTAGGGGACAAAGTGGATCCCTGGGGTCCCAGCCTAAGCAACACAGGCATCCCCCAGCTCCTGCATCTGTGTCTGCATCTTCTTGTTATTCAGTGCTCTTCCTGAGAGGTGGATGCAAATGCAGAGGTAGAATTAGAAGCCAGCAGACACCAAAGCATCACTGGCCTGAGATGGTGGAGCAAACCTTGGGGCTCACTCTCCAGGGTTCCCAGTCTGTGTTGAGATCCACAAGCCAAAACACACAGGTACCCACAAAGGAAAGCACATACAAGTACAGATGAGAGCCTTCCTGTGTGTGGACGTGTGACTGGAGGCTGTGAGGGGCTTCCTGAGGACACAGACAGGAAACTGGGCAGAAGTGGGGGGTGGGAGAGGGATAATGAAGTTCACCTGAGATGGGCCCATTGGCTTCGGACAGCCACAAGAGGAAATCTGTAAAGCCTGGGGATGGGAGGAAAGAGAAGCTTGTGTGTGTATGTGTGTGTGTGTGTGTGTGTGTGTGTGTGTGTCTGTGTGTCTGTGTGTGGAGGGGAGGGTAGAGGGGAAGGTGGAGGGGAGGGTGGAGAGGAGGGTGGGGGGGAAATGGAAGGGAGTGTGATGGGGAGGATGGAGGGGATGGGGCATTCTTTCAGACCCTTTCCAACAGGATCAGAAACACTGGATGAGTAGAGATGAGCCGTTATGGGGATAACTGGAAGTACCAGAGTCCAACAGTCCTGTTTCCCCATCACCCCCAACCCCCGCACCCCATGCCGAGTCACCCCAGGCCCTTGTCACAATCCAGTCTTTAAAATGGAGCCCTGTGCATGCCTCATAGGCATGCACTGACACTGGCTGTTGCCATCCCTGGCTCCACAGGGGGAGGGAGCCCACTGGCCAAGGTCTCAGCCAGGAGATGGTAGGGTCGGTGCCTGGTCAGCCTGCTCAGGCAGCCCAGAGCTCAGACCCTCCCTTCTTTGCTGACCCCACACAGAACGGAGTAATGACAGGGACCAGCCACACACACTCCACTTCCTAAACGCAGTCAACTGACGCCAACACCCAGAGTCACCAGGCTCTCCACCTGATACCACTCAGGGTGCTGCAGTGATTTTCAAAGGCATTTTTTGGGGTGTGACAATTTAGGAGTGAGGTAGGAGAGCTGTTGCTGGGGCCTGGGGTCCTGTTTGAAGCCCTGATATGTGTTACTTGGCTGTACTGGGTGTGGTCTCTACAGACAAAGACAGGTTAGAGGAACCCCAAGAGGCCTTGCTCCTGACATTGCAGGGGATCTGTGGGTTCTCTGCAGGGTGCAGATGCAAGCATTTGAGCCCCCAACCCCAGCTGGGGTCTCTGTCTGGGGGGAGGTGGCCACAACATGCTTGTGGATGATGGGAGCCCCTTCAGGTGTAAGGGGAATTCTGTCCATTTGGACAGTGGACAGGTATGCGTCCACATAAAGTCCCCTTGCCAACAAGAGCCTCCTTCAGTGGGCCAGACTGGGCTCCTGGAGACTTTCTTCTTAAGCGGGCTTTGATGTGTAGGCTTCATTGTGGGTCTCTGCAGTGTCCATGTATAGCTGTAGTCCTGCGACAATGGTTTAGCTGGGATCTCTGTGGTCCTCTGAAGTCTCCTTTATCAGCCTCTACCATCCCCTGGGGGAAGGCCTGATCACCCTGCTGTTTTGGAAAAAGCTGTCTGGTCAGCTTAGCTGGAGCCTCTGCCCCTGCTGGGTCCTCATGATGATTTTGTGTTCGCTCACACTTGTCTTTGCCTTGTTTTATGCACTTCCGTTTCCCTTTAAAATGTTAATTTTATTTTTAAAATATTTTATTTTTATGTGCCTCTGTGTGTGTGTGTGTGTGTGTGTGTGTGTGTGTGTGTGTGTGTACGCACTGCGCGCACGTGCACTCAGGAGACTGTAAAGGTCAGAAGAGGCACTGGATCCCTAGGAACTGGAGTGAGAGATGGTTGGGAGCCACCATGTAGGTGCTGGGAACCGAACCTGGGTCCTCTGCAAATAGGGTAATAAGTGCTTTTTAACTTCTGAGCCATCTCTCTAGCCTCAACTTATTTTCATTTTTATGTGTGTGAATGCTTTGCCTGCGTGTATGAGCCTGTACTACTTGCATGCCTGGTGCCTGAAGAAGCAGAATAAGGCACTAGCTCCAATGAACTGGAGTTACAGGCAGTGGTAAGCTGTGGGTTAAGTGCTGGGAACTGAACTCAGGTCCTCTGCAAGAGCATCATTGCTCTTAAGCACTGAGGCAACATCCAGCCTTTCTCTCCCTCCCTCCCTCCCCACTCAGACACACAGACACACACACACACACACACACACACACACACACACACACACACACACACTATTGCCCAGGGTAGACTAAAACTGGCTATATAGCTGAGGATGGACTTGAACTCCTGCTCCTCCTGCCTCCATCTCCTAAGAGCCAGGATTACAGGCATGAGCTACAACTGGGTTTCTGCTGTGTTTGGATCCAGATCCTTGTGCACTCTGGCCACTCAGCCCTCCTTGCCTTGTATTTGGGACTGAGTCCAGTCTCTCTTGCTCTCTACAAGGCCCCGGTACAGTGGTCCCTTACAGGAGGGTCCCTTGAAGAAAGTGCCTCTTGTTTTTCTTCGACAAGTGCTGTTGGGTAACATTTTCCTTAGCATCCTCCAGCTGGGGATGGAGAGAGCTTCAGGTACAGAGGGTGGGGCTGAGTCTTGGTGGCTGTACCCCACTCCCAAGCCTAGGGGTGGGCAGGCTGATGAGGGGTGGGGCTTTTACCAGCCTGGTGTGGGAAGGGAGGGCTGTGACAGTGGGAGGGGAGAGGTGGAGCCAGCCTTTTCTAGGACATCTGTCACCTGCCTCCTGCCCAGGGGCCTTGCCCCAGCACTACCCTGCTAGTGTGCCTGGCAGCGTGAAGCTGGGGCCTGCTCCTCAGAAACTCCGGGGCATTTTAAGGACCTTTCAAGCCCTATGTCGCTGGCCTCCCCAAACCCAAGGCATGGCAGATGGGGCACAGGCCAACCCCAAAGGGTTCAGGAAGAAGGTGCTGGCTAAACACCCCGCTGGATGGAAGAGTCCAAGCCTTGGGGCCTCTTCTCCTTCCAGAATCTCCAGGTAAGGTGCTTGATGCCCCGGAATGGAACATTCCATGGAGAAGGGCAGGGGGATGGGAAGGGGATCTACTTGTAGAGTTAGCTCTTCAGGAAGTAGAACTGAGTGTCTGTACATTGAGCAGAGGTCTGCCCACTGCGTTCTGGTGCTTGAAAGACCCGTGGGACACTTAGTCAACTTCATTCCATTCTTGAAGCCCAGAGAAGCTAAGAGACCTGCCTGTGACTCCCTCAGCATTTGCAGAGCTGAATCTAGAACCCAGTGACCTGGGTCTCTTGGGTTTAGGTTTTAAGATCCAGTTGCCAGGTAGGGTCCTGTGACTCGGGTCCTAGTATTCCTTGGAGTATGGACTGAAGAGGGCTGAATCTGGTGTGGGACAACGGCTTCCTGTCTTGGAGCTGAGAGTTGGGGAGGGGACATTGGTTCTGGTGGCTCTGCTACCCTGGGGTGTGTTACTCCCTGGAGATGCAGGCCAGGTGGGGAAGTGTCCATCACGGGGCTGGGTGACAGCAATTAGAGCAAGAGAAAGCAGGTGTCTTGAATGAGACCTGACTACAGGTAGCTTGGGAAGAGGGATTCAGGCTGAGCTTTGTTCTCTCTCAGGTCCAGCCTGGGTATGAAGAAATTCTTTGCCATTGCAGTCCTGGCCGGCAGCGGTGAGCTTGGCACCCAGTGGCCCCTCCCCCTTTCTCTATAATGGGGGCTCCTGTGTTATTCTACTGACAGCCTGTTCCTCTTTCTCTCTCTCTGGTCTCCACTTCCCTGTGGAGGCTTCAACCTCTCCTCTGGGGCTGTTTAGTTCTAGACACCTGTAAACAAGCCAGGGGCCCTCTTTTATGAGCTATGCCGAGCAGGTGCAGAGGGCTGAGCAAGCCTCGTAAACTGGTAGTGTTTGCCATTATTGTGGACCTGAGCATATGTATTAGTGACTTTCCGTGCTGGCAGGAGTTAATGAGTTTGTGTGTAGCTGGATGCGTGTCTGTGCATGAGTGTGGGTGTGTCTGAGCATACACTATGTCTGTGTGCCCCACAGTAAAATATGGCTCATGGCTGGGACCTGGTATATATCTGTGTTCATCATGGTGTGTGTGTGTGTGTGTGAGAGAGAGAGAGAGAGAGAGAGAGAGAGAGAGAGAGAGAGAGAGAGGGAGAGGGAGAGAGAGGGACAGAGAGAGGGAGGGAGAGGGAGAGGGAGTGTTTGTGTGTAAACTCTCCCAGGGCTGATGCCCAGGCCTTCATGGATGAGAGCAGTTATCCCCCAGCATAGCTGAGTGAGGCTCCTGATACAAGTTTGGCCCTACCTCACACCCCCAAAGACAAGGTTCATTGTGGCCAGGCATGAGAAAGGGCTGATGTACTCAGACAAAATGACCTGTCATTTCAAAAACAATTATCTCTCCCAAAACCACTGGTCTGAGGAAACTAATATGAACTATTTCTTGTGCCCATGGCCTTTCTTCTGGTTTCTGATTCTCCTGAGTGATGGTTTTATGAGGTAAAGTGTGTGTGTGTGTGTGTCTGGGTGCCCCCAAGGCCCTTTGGGCTCCATCCAGCCTCTAGTTTCCCAACCCTGGACTCCCTATCTCTCACAACATGTCCTGTCCATGGAGGGAGGAGGTTGGAGGATGCGGGGAGAGGGTGCCTAATTCCAAGCGCAGCTCCAGCAGGCCAGAGTGAAGGTTGCATGCACACAGGTTCCACACAGTTCCAGCTAAGGAACAGATAAGGCTCCTGCCCAAACTCTGCTCCTCCCAGCCTGTGCTACCTGAGCAAGTCCTTTCACCTTCTGAGCCTTCATTTTCTCACCCTGTAGATGCCGGTGGGTGGGTGAGTAGCTTCACTCAGGTAGGCTGGTGGCGCTGACTCAGCACAGATGGTTCAAAGAGCCTCACACCCTACAGGAGACAGGAGAGGGAAGCAGTTGAGAGAAGGAAGGGTGAATGGCTGGAGGGCCCAGCTGCTGGCAGGAAGCTGCTTTTTGCTGGTGACAGAAGTACCCTTGAGTTATTGCTTGTGCCGTATGTGCATCGTATGACACACAGACTCCAGGATGCTGGCGGGGACCCCGGCTCCCCTTCAGTTGCAGAGACACCAGAAGCCAAATTCTTGTAGCTCATGGCAGTATGTGGCATTTGTGAAGCTCTCTCCAGTGAACTGGATACTCAGAATGACCTCTTTGGGGAGTGGTCTCCGATCTCATTAAGTTGCCCAGGCTGGCCTTGCATGTTCAATCCTCCTGCCTCAGACGACTCCTAAGTATCTGGAATGTGTACCACTGAACATGGCTGAAATGTAATTGTGACTTTTAGTATTTTCACGCTAGTATGAGTTCATCAGATGCCAAGCACCTGAGGCAAGGGGGGTGTGTGTGTGGCTGAGGTCCCTCTGTCCTGCTTGGCTCTAGGTTCTCCAATATCATGTGACAGTGTGACCCTAGGCAAGTTACTCAGGGCTCTTTCCAGCTTCAATTTGCTTATCAGGAAAAATGTGATAATAACAAAAGTCAGGGGTTGCAGTGAACGCCCAATGAGTTATCAAATGCGAGGGTTTAGGACACTGCCTGGCCTGCAGCTAAATGAACCATATTTGGTCATCTAGGCTGAAGGGCTCAGTGCAGGGGTGAGAAACATCCCAGCCTACAGGATTTGTCTGTTCCCTCCCCTCCCCCCTCTCATTCCCTGAGTCTTGGTTCTGGGGAGTCACCAGGCTAGATTTACACTCCCGGTTCTCTTGCAGTTGTATCCACCGCCCACAGCAGCCTGTTGAACCTGAAGTTCATGGTGGAGGCCATCACGCACAAAAACGCCATCCTGTCCTTTGTGGGCTACGGCTGCTACTGCGGGCTGGGGGGCCGAGGCAAGCCCATGGATGAGGTAGACTGGTAGGTTCTGGAGGCCCCCTGTGGGGAGAGATAGGGGGCAGCTAATGGACAGACTGAGGAGGTGGGGCCAGGAACTCCATCTTCAGCTTCTTAGATGCTTTCTGTTGTCCATATTAGAACGGCATTTTACGCCCTCCCACAAACAGCCAAGGAGGTTCAGGTTTCATGGCTGATGTTCCACAATGGCAAGGGACGGACACCCATGCCATTAGTCCATGCTTCTTCCCTCAAACTGAGAGACCCTGGGAGCCATGGTTTTCATTCTCCCTTCTCTGGCAGCAGCCAGCACCAAATCTGGCACCACGAGGAGATGGCAGTTGGCTTCACTCTTTTAGAAGAGGAGGGTGACTACTCCTCATTTGTTTCCCACCTTTCACCCCCCCCAGTGCCCGTTGACCCACCCCAGACCCCTCCCTGGCCATCCAGCACAAGGAGGCAGGGCCTCTGTATAGGTCTGAGTTACTTTGTGCTGCTGGTTTTAAAGTCCTATCTTCCTGCCCACCCGACCCTCTTTCCCTCCCTGGCCTGGTGGCTGGGACACCTGGCTCCAAGGCAGGGAGGGAGCTGAGAGCCCTGACATAGAACACAGAGGTAGGATCAAGGACAAGAATACAGGGTGCCAGTACCAGTTTAGCTTTACTGGGTGAGCTTGGCATATAACTGCCCCGCTCAGAGCTACAGTCTGAAGGGCTGACCACTATGGGCTGAAACTGATGATCTGAGGTCTCCCGTGGTGGGGGTGGGGGTTGGGTTGGCTGCCTGCACCTGTCTGATCATCAATGCTCCTACCCCACCCCACCCCACCCCACCAGGTGCTGTCATGCCCATGACTGCTGCTACCAGAAGGTCTTTGACCAGGGCTGCCGCCCGTACGTGGACCACTATGAGCACAGGATCGAGAATGACACTGTGATCATCTGCAGTGAGTCCCTCCCTTGACACCCTCGCTAGGAACGGGACTTAGGGGTGAGGGTGGGGACCCAAAGACAAACCCAGGGTAGCCCACTAAGTTCTGATTTCAGGCAAACAATGAAAAACATTTTTGGGATAAGGATAACCCAAACGAGACCACTGGCACTAAAAGTTAACTGTTGGATTCAAATTAGTAGTAGCATAAAATGAAGACTTAGAATAACCACTGATTTGGCATGGATTTGACTGAACACTACCTTTTGTTACTTGGCTCTTACCAATCACTCCCTAGGAAAGTAAGGAGGAGTCTGGGAAAGCAGGAGGTAGCCAGTACGGGTGGGTAAACCTCTTTTCTTTCTTCCTAATTTTGCTGATTTTTTCTTATGTGTATGTGGGCCTGCTTGTCTATATGTGCTCCATGTGTTAGCATGTGCCTGTAGAGGCCAGAAGAGGGTGTTGGAGTCCCTGGAACTAGAGTTACAGGCATTGTGAAGCCCCTGATTTCGGCACGGAGAACTGAAACTAGGTCCTCTGCAAGAAGCAGCCATGTTCTTAACTGCTGGGCCATGTAATGCCAGGTTTTTCTGTCCAACCCCCTCCTGCAGCCGCTTTTAAATAATCACTCAGAGGCGTATCTCAATTATAATGTTTAGCCGATAACTCAGGCTTATTACTAACTAGCGCTTACATTTAATTTACCCATTTCTATTATCTATATAGTGCCATCTGGCTGTGGCTTAACTGGTCCGCTGCCATCTTGTTTCTTGTGCAGCTGGCTGGAGTCTCCTCAACTCTGCCCCTCCTCATCCCAGTCCTCATTTTGATTGCTCCACCCAAACTTATCCTGCCTGGCTATTGGTCAAACGGCTTTAATTATTAACCAATGGGAACAATACGTATTCACAGTGTACAAAGCACCCCATAGCAGAGCCATCTCTCCTGCTCCCCATCTTTCTTTCTTAGCTTCAGTTGTCCCAGCTGTTCAGAGGTCCCCTAGTTTTACCATGTGAGCCACTCACAAGGGTGTGGCACCCCAGCCCAGAGCAGGGCACACTAAAAGCCCAGGTGGCACAAGACCTACTGACTTGAAGTCATTTCCCAAAGGCCACTGGGTTCTCAGAGTCCCTTCCTTTGTCCCCGTATCACCCATCGCCTATGCACAGGTGAACTCAATGAGACAGAGTGTGACAAGCAGACGTGCGAGTGTGACAAGAACTTGACTCTGTGCCTCAAGGATCAGCCATACAGAGACAAGCACCGAGGCTACCTCAATGTCTACTGCCAGGGTCCCACACCCAACTGCAGCATCTACGACCCTTACCCAGAGGAAGTTACCTGTGGCCATGGTTTCCCAGCGACCCCTGTCTCAACCTAGCCTGACTAAGGTCTGAGAGAAAAGAGGGCAGGGAGTCTGGCTGGGGTCTACATCTGATATGTGGGGCCGAGGCTATCTTGTGACTCCCTCCTAGCCCTGTAGTGAGCTCAGTACCAGAAGACTCTGGAAGTCCAAGGCTTGTCTGTGGCCTTTACTCTGTCAGCCTCACACTCAGCAGCTGGGTCAGGGCTTAGCGGGAAGCACATTTACTTGCTGGGGTCTCACCTGGATATGGAAGGAAACGATGTGGCCTCAACTCAACTCCCAAAACCTGTGACCCATCACAGGCCTGGAACTACACTCAGGCAGGCAGAGGGCTGGGCTGAGGCCTGGGTTCTGGAGACCCTTGGAGTCCCACAAGATAACTTAAGGTAGACTTGTGACTCTCTAGAGTCCCACTCACAGAATGGGTGGCCCCATCCAGCCCTCAGCCAACAGGAGGTGTCTAGGCCTAAAGCCTGACCTCTGTTACCCAGTGCCTTTTGGCAGGCTCCAAGGGCACAGAGACCCCATGTACACAGTATGTGTGTGTACAGGGACTGGCAGGAGGTGGTCACACATCCACAGTTTTCCCTGCCCTTCCGACTCCTGCACGAAAGTGGTGTATACCCCACTGGGCCCTTACCCCACCCAAATTCAGAGTGGCGAGCTAGGAGTATCTGGAGCACTCACTCCGTATGCAGGACGAGGCCAGTTCAGGCTGTCTCCGGGGTTGAAAGGTGAAAGGGAAGATCACATCAGGAGACTGAGAGGGAAACTTGGATAGAGAGGGAGGGAGATGGTAAAGAAGGGAATGGGGGGGGGGGGCAAGATGTAACGAGGGCCAGGCCAGTTGTCAGACATGGAGATGGGGTTAGCAAGAAGAGAGATGGGGACAGGCTAGTGAAGCTGAGGGTGTGGCCCCATGAGTCTGGGAATCTTGAAGGCTCCTGCTGGCGGGTCACCTTCTCCACTGTCGCCAGCCTTGTGTTTCTTTAGGTGTACCTCCCCTGTCCCCTGCCTCATCTGCCATCTCAAGGTCAGCGGTGTCTAGCCTTGCCTCATACCTGTCTTCTGCCTTCGTCCTGCTAACTCTGAGGACCCAGGAATGCCAGCCCCATGTGGACACTCAGGACATTCACCAGGAAGCTCAGCTTGCGTGGCTCCGTGGGACATTGTCACTGGAGAGAGAGCCAAGCAGGGTGACTGTAGAAGCAGGAAAAGATGTCTATGCAGATGGCAGTGTCTGAAATGGCAGCTTTGGGACTAAGGGAGTCACTGTGTGCAAGAGGGACCCTCACGCCGGTCCTGGTGTGACAGGGCGGTCACTTATGTGCACTGACCCAACTTGCCCTTTGCCTTGGCCTTGTGATCTTCTTTATCTACCCTCTCAGGAGCTCAGCAAATAGGCTTCCCTTCTCTTCCCTGCTACACTAGCTCCACCCCAAGAGCTGTGATGGGTGCCCAGAGAGCTTACGGCTGAGTTTTGACACCAGGCTTGTGGGCTCCTCCATGGATACACACCTCCTATAGAGAAGGCTGGGGCAATGAGATTCCATTGCTATAGGATCTAGCCCCTTCAGCCCCCTTCTCCCCTGCCTCAGTCCCCACAGAATACAATATCCCCTCGTCAGACTAATAATAATAATAATAGTATTAACAACAACAACCAGTTTTGGCTGCCTTTGCTGAGTCCTTCTTAGGGTAAGGGTGGGCACAGGGATACATTCCTGAGTCTCTAGGTCTGGGGAAGACAGGCTCCTTGACATTCCACCGCTCTCTGCTTGTGGGGAGATATGGCCCTATGCACCTAAAGGCACAGGCTGAGAAGACAAAAAAACAATGCCTGAGCCATTGGCAAGGGCACAGGGACCCTCTATGCAATGGTGGCAGCCAGTGTGGGCTCAGGATGCATGCCCTTCTATAACCTGAAGGTTACCTAATAGGACAGCCAGGGAAGCAGCAGTTGTCTTAGCAAGCTAAGGAAAGCAGGGGTGGGTGGGGGGTGTTGTGGGCTCTTCGGGATACCAGCTCTGAGGTCAGACTCCTCCAGCTACAGGGAACCAGAGACACCCATCTGCATCATATATTTTCTTGTACCCGGGTCCCTTCGTGAATTCCTACCGGTTTTCTCGTGTACCCAGTGTCCAGAGCCGCGGGTGCTCAACCTAGTGTGATTTCTACAGCTGAGATAAATACCATGACCAACAAGCAACTTGGAGAGGGCGGGGTTCATTTGCTTTGTGCATCCCTGCCACAGGTGGTCATGGAGGAAAGTCAGGGCAGGAACTTGAACAGGACCAGAGGCAGGAAGCACAGAAGAAAGCTGTTCCCCAGGGCTTGCTCAGCTTGCTTTCTTATACCTCCTCCCCCTGCCTAGGCATGGCACCACCCACAGTGGCCTGGACCCTCCCACATCGATCCTTCATCAAGAAAATGTTCCATGCGTATGACCACAGGCCAATCTGATGGAGGCAATTTCTTAATGGAGGCCCCTCTTCCCAACTATAGTGTGTGTGAAGTGGGCAAAAACTAACCCACTGGGCGTTCCTGAAGGGGTCGGGAAGGCCGACACACATGGGTTCTCTCCCTGCCTCAATCCTCGGCTCATCCTGGAAGATGACAGAAACTCTATTGGTGGTTTCCTGGGGACTCAGGGGTGGTCCCTGTTCCCTTAGAGCCCAGACCTAGGAGAGGAAGAAGGTGAGAGAAGCCATATCCCTTACACATGGTGCCCTGTGGCATGCCAGTACAGATGAAGGTGTTCCAAATCTGTGGCAGTCCCGGGTGTCCCCAGAAGCCGTTAGGGCAGGGCCAGGGTTAGGGGACCCACAGAAAAGCCCTGCCTCGGGATGAGGGGCCCCTTGCTCCCGCAGTCTCTCTCCTTCTGACTCCTGGTCAGTCTTTCTGAGCTGTCATCTACACTGAGGCTTGAGGAGGGTGCTGCCTTGCTGTCTAGCCGCTGTCTTCGTCCTTCTGAAGGCTGAAGATCCTGTCATTCCCCTCCCCTAGCCACAGCTTTGGGATCCTTTGTTTAATGATGGTTTCTAGAACTTGGGTGACACCTGGTGGACACTATGGCTCACATCCGGTTCTACTCACCACATCTCTGGGGTCCCTATCCCATAGGCAGATCTCACCCCAAGCAGTCAGTGTTCCCCTGGAACAAAGAGACACATCTCCTCAAACACCTTGTCATGGCCACCAATGCTACCTCTCACAAACGCCTGACCCTTCAGGCAAAGACTGTGGGCCAGGTGCTACCATCTCAGCCACTGGCTGGCCACACAGCCCTGAGCAAACCACCTCACCTCTCTGCATGCCAGGGCTGGTGAGTGCACAGCAGGAGTCTGGGGTGGGGGTGACTGAGGCCAAGAACAAGCATGCCCTAGGACAGTCTGACAGAGGACCGAAAGTGTCAGTGATGGGTGCTTTGGCTAGGGTGTTGACCACAAGGTCCCCTAGTCAGCAAGGCAGTCCCATCCAGCACCCCACACACACAAGGAGGTAGGTGGAGGGAGCTGAAAGGGAGGGAGTGGGGAGGCAGCCACAGTCCCTTCCTCAGGCCATGCCTGTCCCTGGGTTGGTCTGTAATTCAGCCAGTTACTCAGCCCAGCCTTGACTGTGAACACAGTCCGTCCTCTCCAGGGGATAGCAAAGCAATGGCAGCTACCAGCCCCACCCCCCCAGTTGTGGCTTCCCGACAAGCAGCTGATCCCACCAACTGTGGCAATATATTATTTATGATTTATTAAAGCTTGCCTGAGGATTCAGAAAGCAAAATCAGCCACAGGCTATAGAAGCCAGGCACGCACCTTTAATCCGAGCAGCCAGAAGCTAGGAGGTGGTGGTACACACCTTTAATCCTAGGACTCAGTATTAAGAGATAGAGGAATCTCTGTGAGTTCAAGGCCAAACAGATCTACACAAGAGTAAATCAGTCTAAAAGAGAATTATAGCTCACACCTTTAATCCCAACATTAGGGAAGTATGTAAGACAGAAGCAAGGTCTCAGAGGGGCATTCATTCTCCAGCCACACCGAGGACAGGCAGCAGTCCGAGACTTGAAGAGCCTGTGTGTAGAGCGGCCCTTTTGGCCTGAGATAGAGGTCAGAGCTAGTGGCCGGCCGCTTTGCTTCTCTGATATTAGCTTGAAGTTTGAAGCCCAATATCAGTCTCTGGGTCATTTAATAATTCGTGTTACAGGTTCCAAATCCAGACAGCTGATAAAGAAGTAAACATCATGGCAGGCAATTTCTTAGTTGAGGGCCCCTCTTTCCAGCTGCGGCATGTGGAGACTTCAAACCAGAAGATGAGGCTTGCGTTCCTTCCAGTAGACACAACCTTTCATTTTCACCAGAGCCATGGGGGGTGAATTATGGATTCCTAGGATCTCTCCCATGATCAGTAAGACCATGCATGAAAATCATGCAAGTGCTCTTAACCACCACAGCATCTCTCAGCCTTTACACGTGCCCTCTTCCCTGCACCCAATTTTACATACACATCAGTGGTAGCAAGGGCAACAAGATGGTTGCTCTCAAGTAGAGGATGGAGGCGAAGAATATAAGTAAGGATGGGCATGGTGCCCTGGGTGAGGGAGAAAACTCCGGAGGAGTGGGGGGGGGGCTGGTAGCACAGCGGGTAGCATGTTATAAACATGGGCTGATTGGGAACTGCTGGAAGGGAGAGGGAAAGGTGGGTCAGGCATCCTGTTGACAAGTCACTATGTGAGAAGATGCAGAGAGAACCCTGCAAGGGTACAGTCAGCTTTGCACAAAGCAGGAGGTCGAGTCTAGATTCTTCCTCTTGTATTTTCTTTGCAAGTAATCATTTCACCGAAGTACTTTATAAATAGAGAATCAAGGTGTGCTGGCATGGTTGAATTTAAGACCTTCGCTTTGGGTACATTACCAAGCAGAGTCCCAGATTCAGGGAATGAAAAGGAGACTCTACCCGTGACAGATGCGCTAAATGCCAGAGCATGAAAGGCAAGTGCCACCAAGCATGGTCGCATCTGTGTCCCAATCCCACTATTCCAGTCTAGCACCACGAAAAACTGACTCCACCCCAATTGGACAGTCCTTGTTTGTTGTTTACTAGATTTAAGTCTTATAGGAGCAGAGGCTTCTAAGTGGGGGCGGGGATTTAGAACACCTTGAACCCACTGTCCCACACATCTCTCCATTTCTCCGTGCATCTTTGCTATGACATCCTTGTGGCAGGGGTGAGCACCATCCTTGTAATGGCACCGGGCTTTCTGAGTCAGCAGACCAGCCTGCTTCCTGCTGTCCTGCAAACAAGGACAAGACCCCAGGTGAGGCTCTTGGGGTTGTATTCTCTAAGATACTTGTTTGTTCCCAGCTAGCTCTGGGTGGAGGACCTGGTTCTCTGATCAGACATGTGTCCTGACTTGGGTTGGGGGTTTAGGAGAGTTTAGCTTAGATCTCGGTTCCCCCTCCCTTCCTGGAAAAAGGGTTTGGGTCTCAGGCAGCACAGGCTAGCCTTGAGCTTACCATATCATGGAGGGTGCCCCTGAATTTCTGCCTCTCCTGCCTCCACCTCCCAAATGTTGGAATTAAAGGGCGTTTCCCACCCTGCTCTCATTTTCCGGATTCCTAGCACTTACCTCGGCTGGAATGTGTCACTTAATTGCCAAACACCAGTGCTATGTTTCTAGAGCAGGAATTCCCCATCTCTTACGTCCAGTCCCCCTGTGCTGAGGGAAAAGTCACCCCCTAGACAGCAATGCCGAGATGCAGGAGCCTGGGGGCTGTCAGAGATGGTCCAAGGCAGCTTTCCAGAAGGGCCATACCACTAGAGCAGGTGCCATGTGACAGAGGGACAGTGGCTTTGCTAGCACCGGAGTTTGTGTCTGCCACAGTGGGGCCTGCTGAGGAAGACCTGCTCGAAAGCTTTCTCGTAGATGTTCGGTTCTCCTTGAAGCAGTGCACAGACTGCTTGTCACACTCACAGGCAGCTGCCACCCAGGGGCATCCATCTGCGGAAACACGCAGTGTCACGGGGGCTCACTGCCCACTTCAAAGCAGGTTCTAAGGTAGGAAAATGCTGGGGGTACAGAGGGAGCTACAGGGGTCAAGGACAGAGGGCAAGGTGTGGGAATGCTTTTTCTTTGTTCACGGCCCTTCCCCAATCACACTCACACATCCTTCCATGTCACAAGGAGCAGATGCCTAGGAGGAGGTAAATGGATGGGGGAGGATGGGGTGCATGTTAGGGAGGGGGGGTTGAGTCACTACACCCAGGCAGCACTTGGGCCAAGGCAACAGGTAGGACTCATGCCCCCAGGGTGCATCTCCTATTCCAGACACCAGCCTGACATGCCAGGTGCTGTCTGAAGCCTCTCCAACGGCTGATGCTCAGAGCTACCCTGTTCATGTATATGTGCCATGCCAATGAGCCCGTCACCTCTCCACCCCTAGGAATGATACACCTGACCACAGTGGCTCTCTAGGAACCCTTCCCTTCTTTCACTTCCTGTTTCCCATCTGCAGGTAAGTCCCATGGATGTCCTCCCGTTTAACCCCTTCATGCTCTGCCCTCTTTTGTCCACCATCCCTGCCACTACCCACATTCCTGTCCCTTTCCACATACTGTCACCACCAGCTCTTCCTCCTTAACAGGAGGAAACAAACTGGTAGTCTCGAAATGTCACCTGGATCATACCCATTCTCCCACTGAAAGTCACCCTTTGGTTTCCCAGCCTCGGTGGAAGAGGTGATCTTCCCTTTGTGGCAGTCCCCAGCCCACCTGCCACAGCTTGACTGTCCCAGCCTCCCCCTTCCTCGTGGAACTGCCACTCTCCCGTCCCCAGTCTGCTCCTGACACAGGTATGCCTTGTCCTAGAACCTTCGCACGTGCTGCTCTCCTGGTCTTATCTCTTCCCGTGTGGTGAGCCCCACAATCCATTTGGGTCTTGATGGAATTTAGATAGGCTAACCTAAGCCACCTAGTCTAAAGCTCTCCCCAGCCACTCCCTCCCAGGTCCCGTTGCTGGTTTCATTTGCATACTGGCTTGCTGTGCCCTCCCTCTCCTGCCCTGCAGAGTGAGGCTCTGGTGCCTCACAGTCTTCCCCCTTCCACAGCAGAGGCCAGTCTATGGGAGCTCCTCAGGGTACCGTTGCCGCTAAGCCAATGAAGCCCTGAGGATGTGTGTCTGCCCTGGAACTGAAGGACAAGTGGACTGGGACCTTTTGTGGAGTAGTCACAGCTCCAATGCTTTGCGCGTGTGTGCTCACACATGTGCATGCATGAGAACATACTGGTACTGGGGTCATCAAAGGCACGATGCCTCATTTCTCCAGAACTCCACCCAGATCTGCTCTCTTGGTGAGGAAGGAGGCTGCCAGACCCTGGGGCTTGTCTTCTGCAGCTTGTTAATCTGGATGTCTCCCTGGATAATATGCTGATCGTGGTCACAGATGAGCAGCAGCGTAAGGCCCGCTGCTAAGATGCTGGTGACAGGTGGATTATGTGCTGTGCCTGCTGCTCTGGCAGGGGCACCCTTGCTTCCATATATACAAAGATGCAAGCGCCTGTCTGCTGGACCAATGCAGGCTGTTTCTCTGCTATCTTCCCTCGCCGGCGCCCACACTCCCACTGGAGCTGCCCACCCATGCCTGTCTGGAGACTTGATATCTCAGGACAGACACCACCACGCCTCAGCTGCCCTTCAACACACACCCACTCTTCCTCACATCCACACCCTTTGGCCTTCTCACATTCCCTTCTCCATCTGTGAAGGTCCGCCCAGATCCATCAAGTCCCAGCCCCCTCGGGGCTCCTTCCTCATCTGGGCACCATGCATGTGCCTCTTTCTCCCTGTCCACACCAAGTCTCTGTGTCTCCAAAACAGCAGCTGCCGTAAAGGCCGCAGAGAGTGTGGGCTGCCTGAATGCAGACTCTGCCCTAGTGGACCACTGTCCTCTGGAGACCTGGTGCTGCCACCCAGGAAATCTGAGCCCTGTTATGGCCTCTGCCCTCCTCCACCTTCCTGTCCCTCCTTCTCCCTTCTCCTGTTTATGTCTTGCTCTTCCTTTCCCCCCGTTTTTTTTTTAAACTTTCTAGACTTTCCTTCTTCTTAGACCATGTGTATGAGGGTTTTTGTCTGCATGTATGTATGCATGCCGTGTGCATGCCTGGTGCCCACCAGTGGTCAGAAGAAGACATCAGATCTCCTGGAACTAGTTAGTGATGGTGTGGCTGTCTTGTGATTTCAGGGAAACTGACTTCAGGTCCTCTGCCAAAGCAGCAGGCATTCTTAACCACTGAGCCATCTCCCCGACCACTTTTATGCTTTTGTTTCTGAGACACAGTCTCACATGGCCCAGGCTGGCCTTAAATCATTCCCAAGGTCACTCAGAGATGACACTGAACTCCTAACCCTCCCAGGTCCATCTTCCAATGCTGAGATGGTGTTCAGGGGCCACCGTGTTGCTTTGTGAGTGACGAGATTGAACCCAGGGCTTCATACATGCAAGGCAAGCAAGCACTCTGCCAAATGAGCTACATCCCCAGTTCTCCCTGACTCCTTTGTACTGTGTGATTAAATCCCCTCCTTGAAGTGTAAATCCACCTCTCACAGCTCTCCCAGTCCCTAGTTCTTCAGTACTGGTCTTGAACAGTGATTTTCTACCAAGGATGGTCATTTTTGGCAGCATCCCTCAGTGATGGTCAGATTGGGTTTGCCATGATCCTCAGCCAAAAAAATGCCATCTTTACAAGCATTTCAAAGCATTGGGCTCTAGATCCTGCATCTTCCAATATATCAAAAGAGAAACTGAGGCACATGGAAAGGAAATGACAGCTTCAGAAACTTCTTTCTCATTATGAGAATTTCATCTCCACAAATGAGGCAAGGTGACAGGCACAGACTCCTGCCTGTGGCTAACTGGAGGCCTCACGTGGCCTCTGTCTGAGCTCCAGCTTTATTCCAGATTATCTTCATAGAGTTCTTGCTCAGTCTCAGGACCCAACATCCTCCTGGGTTCCCAGCCTCCAGCCCAGACCTCTTCCTTGAGCTCCCGACAGCAACACAAGTATCTGTTTGCTGCCACATATCTTGTATTAGTCCATTTTCTGTTGAAATAGAGAGTTGTGTAATTTGCAAATAAAGTGGCTCATTTGCCTCACAATTTGGGGAGCTACAAGTCCAGACAGCGTGGTGTTGGCTCTTGCAGGGTTTCCCTAGGCACAGCACAGTACCGCATGACATACAACAACATGGTGAGTGTGCACTCAAGAAGGAGGGGTCACATGGGACAACAGGAATCCAGAGAGACTGGGGAAGGGCCAGCCTTGCTTGCTGTTATAGAACAAGTTCCTCTGTTGAGAATTAATCAATGCCCCAGGAATACTACCTTAATCTCTTCCAGGGTACCATCTGCAATGTTCTAACAATCTCCAGGTTCTACCTCTTAAAGGTGGCACCAAATCTTATGTGTTTGTGTGTATGGTGTATATATGTTTGTGGGTAGTATGTGCACACGTGCATACTGATTCATGGGTATGTGTGTGCATGCATGCAGAGGCCAGAGACTAAAGCTGGGTAGCTTCCTTGATTCCTCTCTTCCTTATTTGTTAAATTTACTGTTTGTGTATATGTATGTGTGGTATGCATCAACATATGTGTCCATATACATGTGAACACATGAATATACACGCATGGGTGCACATGCATATATGTGCATGTGCGTAGAGCCCAAGATTGATGGTAGGAGTCTTCCTCAGTCATTTTCTGCCTTCTTTATTCGTGGAGGCAGGGTCTCTCGCCCAGTGCTCATCACTGGACCCAGTCCTCACCAATCATGGTGGTTTGGAAGAAAATGACTCCCAAATGAAGTGGCACTATTAGGAAGGGTGGCATTGTTGGAGTAGGTGTAGCCTTGTTGGAGGAAGCACGTCAAGTGGAGGCTGGCTTTGAGGCTTCATAGATGCTAAAGTTACACCCAGTAAGACCACTTCCTGTTGCCTGTAAGTCAAGATGTAGACCATTCTGCTGCTTCTCCAGCACCATGTCTGCCCGCACGTCACACCATGACGACAATGGACTAAACCTCTAAAACTGTAAGCCACCCAATTAGATGTTTCTCGTTTCTAGGAGTTGCCATGGTCATGGTGTCTCTTCACAGCAATAGAAGCCCTAACTAAGATACCAATTTAGATTAGCGTTGTTAGTCAGCTTGCTCTGTGAATCCCCTATCTGTGCCTTCCAAGTTTTAGAGCCACAGGAAGGCTGCGGTGCCCACCTAGCATTTATATGAGTTCTTAGGATCCAAAATTGGACCCTCATATTTGCATGATGAGTCATCTCCACAAACCACCACCTTATTTTTGAGACTGAATCTCCCACTGAACCTAGAGCTGCCCAATTAGCTGGGATGGCTAACCATTGAGCTCCAGGGGTCCACTTGTCTCCACCGCCTTGTGCCCAGGGCCGAGTTACAGGTGTATGGTGTCATGCCCCAGATTCCACCTGGGCTGGAGATTGGAACTCAGTTCTGTACAGCAGGGGGTTTACCAGCTGAGCCATCTCTCTAATCCTAGTCCCCCACTTCTTAACATTATTACCCGGGTATGCCACACCCCCCACACACAAACCCTTAACACGCTTAAAACATACCTGAACTACAGCACATCTTACACTCCATGTAACTTGCAGGCAACAGGAAGTGGTCTCTTTTACTGGGTGTAATTTTAGCATATAGAGGCCTCAAAGCCAGCCTCCACCTCTGCTCAGAGGCACGGGCCAGTAACGGCTGGACTCCCAGAAACTGGGAGTCTAGTTAAACCTTTCTTCCTTTAAGTTGGTGACATCGGGTATTTTGACAAGGCCATTGGTAAAGAAGTGAACACACTCACAGCTCTCAGGGCTGGGCACTTATATTCCAGCTGGCAGGTGGGGGCCACTGCACACGTAGACAGAGAAGGTACAGGAAATGTCAGAGTGCGGTTGAGTGCTGGAGAGGAAAGGGGTGTGGGCCATGCAGAAGCTGTTGTGAGGAATGCATCAGAAATGAGACAGGTTTTTCTTTGCAAACCAAACTTCCACAAAGTTACCGCTTCTGCCTCCTCCTCTCCAGGGGGAGGGAGGAGTCAGAGGGCTGCAGATACATGTAACAGTGGCACAGGTGGCTAGAATCAGTCTCTGTCCCCCACAGCCAGGCTTCACCCAACACATTGCAAGTGTGGGTGGAAAGGGTATCACAGTACTGCTGTTCAAGTCCCTTGTGAGTGCCAAACTCCTCAGAGGAGGAGCAGCCACCTGGTCAGCCATGCCAGGGCAGCTATGCCCTTCAGGAAAACTGACCCTTGAGCTCCTTCAAAGACTTTGTGGTATACTGATAGATACCTGGGTAGCACTTCAAGCTGTGCTTGCCAAGCTCCTCCCCCTCCCCCTGATCCCACCCCTCACTAACCTACCACACCCTCCTCAAAGCCCTCCCCACACTGGTTGCTAGGCAACCTGGAACCAGGCTAGAGGGCGGGACTTCAGAACTGCTAGAGGCATTAACTCTTGCAGCGCAGCTCTCTGAACTGCAGTGGGGCCTGGGAGAAGAGGCTTAATTTTCCACACATGTAATGACTGTGTTAGTCCCACCGGGGGCAATACAGGGCTGACTTCAAAGCAACTATAAATAAGACAGGGGAGGATGAGCTGGAGAGATGGCTTCCAGACCTGGGTTCGATTCCCAGTACTCACAGGCCAACTTAGGACAGTCTCTACCTCCAGTTTCAGGGCATCTAATGCTCTCTCCTGGCTTCTGCTGGTACTGCATGTACATGGTGTACATACATACATACATGCAATCAAAATACTTATACACATAAAATAACAAAAACAGTTCCAGTGTTTCCCAACAAGGTAAAAAGCGAAAACGGGGCAAACCAGAAACTCCCACATCCAAACGGTGGGCACTAACTAAACACTGGCAGTGGGACCAGCCCCTCCTGGGGTCACAAGAGGGGTCACTCTTGTCCATCACCCAGAACCTTGTGCAGTATGGGCTATTTCACCATTTCTATGAATGAGGAGACCGAGGCTTGACTGGGACAATGAGGCCGGATTGGAAAACAAACCGAGATCCGTTCACTGTGTTCCTCCAACCAGGACAGAACATCTATCTCATCAGTTACTAGAGGCCATGAGACTTGCATTTGGAGAATAATCCATCCATCAAGATGACTTCCTGCATCAGGGTAGCAGGAGGCAGAATAACCTGCGTCCAAGTCTCCATCCTTTCCCTGGCTGTGTGACCTTGGACATCCCACTTAATTTCTCTGAGCCTTGACATCCTATGCAATAATAGGGAGGAAAGTGCCGGCCTCTGAGGTCTATTCTGGCAAGCCAACCTGAGGTGTGCAAAGCTTTACACTGTGGTAGCTGCTGCTCTCACTTTGTGGCTGAGAAGACCAAGGCCCAGACAGCTCAAGCCAAGCAGAAAGTTCCAGAGTGGACTTCCTGGAAAGCCTCAGCATGCAAGTCCCAGTCTTGTCTGTCACTCACCTGGACCAAGCCCCTCCCCTCTGTGGGCCTCAGCCTTCCCAGAGTATCAGTGAGAGAGGTTGGCTGGGGTGGTTGTCAAGGTGTTTTCTGCTGTGGAGTTCTCCTAAGCTACCGACCTTAGGTAAGCAGGAGCTGGGCCTGCCTCACTCTGTGACTGGCTTTGGGGCCACAGTGGCCGTAGGTGCTCAGCCGACAAAGGGTACATGGGTGGGTGTGTCTGTGTCTCAGCCCACATCAGAGACCAGGCCATACAGTTCTAGGCTCCTTGAATGGTGATACTGATGCCCCAGAGGAGCTGTGGAAGTCCCCTCATTCTCCAGACCTCATGGGCTGCATGTGAGGAAGCTGAAGAATGAATGTGAGCTTCCAGGTCCTGCCTGTCTCCCACCTCCAGCTGACCAGTCCTGGCCAGAGGATGTGCTGTCTTCTGTGGCCTTAGCCTTCATCTCCTGGAGCTCTAGGCTGGGAGGTTCAGTTTCCAGGCCTATCCTTACCCTCCTGAGCAGCTAGTGAATGGAGGAAGGGCGGAGGGTTGATGTAGGCCTCAGTGGCAAAGGTTCTCTTTATGTACTAGGGTCCTGTGCCAGCTGGGCAGGGCTATGTATTAGGCAGACTCCTGGGAGATGAGACAAGGACAACTGGTAGTGTAAGGATGGAAAAGTTTAGCCTAATTTTCCCTAGACTCTGCCCCCTAGCAGTGAGTAGGCAAAAGGTCATTCTTGACTGTTTACAACAGGGCAGTTTATGGACAGCACCTGTGAGTGAATGAGAACAGGAAATGAGCCGTGCCACACCACCCAGAAGCCCTAGCGAAAACAGACTTCCTGAGCTAAGCGGGCTTGGATAGTTCAAATTGATTGGTCCACACTGGATGCTATGAGATGATTGGTTTGTAATGCGCAGGCTTTGTTGTAATCCTATAAAAGCTGTCTGAACCCTGTACCCAGGGTTCCCAGTCCTTTACCCCATGTGGAGTATGGCTGCAGACCCCAGTGCACTGGAATATAAAAGACCTCATGCTTTTGCATCAAGACCGCTTCTCGTGAGTGATTTGGAGGGGGCGCCTTTCCTGAGTCGGGGCGTGAGGGTTCAAGCCCTCCCTCCGCAGGTCTTTCAGTAGTTCTCTGACCTTGGAGGAGGCAGATGGATACCCGGAAACACTGCATAAACTCGGGAGGAAGTGACTCACTGCCCTAAGGCCTGGCAGGAGTCGACCTACTGCATACGGTTTATGAGGAGCAAGAAACCACCTCCTGGGCTGGAATCACAGGGCTGGACAAAGGCTGGTGCCCACCGCCTTCAAGCTCTTTGAGCCAGACTTGCCCCCGCATGCCCACGCCCTCAGCTCCAGGGCATGCTCCTTTGAGTGGACACTCCATGATTCCCTCTTTCCTCCTGTGCAGTGTCCCGCTCCTGCTCATAGCACACAACATGCAATCGCCCTTAGCAAATGTCTGTTCAACTGAAAGACAGCCAAATGCCTTGTCAACACAAGACCACAAAAACCAACAAACAAAAAGGTTAGCAGGGCTGGAGTGTTAATTCAGGGTTAAAGCACTTGGGAGGCCAGAGTTCAGATACCCAGAAACCAAATACTGGGTGGATCTGGTGGCCTGCCTACAATCCCAGCCCCTAGGGACAGAGACAGGATCACCCCAGTAAGCTAACCACATCAGCCAGCTGAGGGTTTGATGGAGACACTCTGCCCCAATAAATGAGACAGAACAGTGACGGAGGACAATCCCTAACACCAACCTCAAGTATCCACCTGCCTGTGCCCACCTACAAGTGTACCTACACACATATAAAAACATGTGCACATGCATACCACACACGCCTGAAAATGGGAAAAAAACAAAAACAACAGCAACAACAAAAAACCAAGGAATGTTCTCAACAGCCAGAGCTGCCTAGGGAAACTGCAAAGTCAATGGACTCTGCAGTCATCAACTCTTTACTGCCCCATAATGTAGAGTGGGCTCTGGTCTGGCTTCCTGGTGAGAGCTGAGATTTGGTGTCGGGCAGAAAGGACCAGGCAAAACCAGGCAAAGACTCTGAGAAGCTCTCACTCTCAGATTCAATCCTCTCCATCTCCCCCCCTGATGGGAGATGTCATTCTATATATGTTTCTCATACTGGTTAATAATAAAGCACTGTTGGCCAATAGGAAAGGAAGATAGGAGGGACTAGGAGACAAGGAAGAAATAGGAAGGAGGAGTCAAGATGGAGAGCCCGGAGAGAGCAATATGCAGCAGCCGGCTCCGGGTAAGAAGACCACGTGGAAATACATAGATCAGCAGAAATGGGTTAATACTTAAGACAAAGCTAGCCAATAAGAAACTAGTACCTGGCCAACAGTATAATATCAAATACAGAGTCTCTGTGTATTATTTGGGGCTGGCTAGGTGTCAGGACAAGACCGGGCAGCGGCAGGCGGAAAAACCGTACTCGTTACACCTCCCACCCCAGCCCTGAGCCTTGGAGCTGGGGAAATGAGCCACTGATACACCTGTCCTTTTCTGGAGGAGCCCATTGCCATTTGTGGCCCTGGGCTAATGGTGTGCAGTTTTGAATCAACCTTAGGACTCCAGCAGGTAAAGTACAGATGGGCAAGGGCAGGAGGTAGACTTAGAAATGGCTGACTTGTGTTTCAGGCCAGTGGGGGCAGTGGTTGAGCAACTCTTAGTCTGGGATCCTCTTCCTGTATTTACTGTAAAGGTGGGTTATAGTGGGGATGCTCCTCCTACATTCACTGTGAGGGCTGAGGCCACATGCGGATCACCTGTGTGAGGGTTGAGGACATGTGCAGATCACATGTGCAAAGGCTGAGGCCCATGTGTAGCTTACCTGTGTGAGGACTCAGGACACGTGCGGATCACATGTGTGAGGGCTGAGGCCCACATGTAGATCACATCTTCAGTGTTGGGCACATAATGTATACCTCACAAGTGCCAGTAGCCTTCCATGACTCCATAGCCATGGGGCTCAAGTTCCATATATTAGACCCTGTTGTAAGGACATGCATGCCAAGGGACATATCCTTCCTATTTCTTCCAATGGGAAAAGACACCCTATCCAGTCTCCCCAATGTGCCCTCTCCAGATTACAGTATCATCATTTTTTATGGACGCCCACACCACCCACCCCCAAATCCTTAGAGCTGTCCTGGAAACCAACTTGGTACCGTGTGACTGCCTCCAGATGGACAACTTTTCTGAACTGGGCCACTTGGCTTCTCTCCTAAAATATGGAATTAGGTCTGGAAGCTGGCAGGGCAGTTTTGCTAGGCCCATAAGCCTAAAAATGGAGCATGCGGGTGAAGAACACTCTTGCCAGGTGAATGGGAAAGGCTTCCAGATCTAGGGCTGGACTGACTGTGTAATGTTAGGGCCCTTGATTGAGAATATCCTGATGGGCCTGGGGTGTGTCTCAGAGGTGTAATGGTCCAGCAGGGATGGATAGAGAATATCTGGATGGGCCTGGGGTGTGTCTCAGATGTGTAATGGTCTAGCAGGGATGGATAGAGAATATCTGGATGGGCCTGGGGTGTGTCTCAGTGGTGTAATGGTCCAGCAGGGATGGGGTTCTGGGTTTGAGCAGCACATGGTGCTGCCTAGAAACTGAACACTTGGGAGGCTGAGGCAGGAGGCCCCAGAGTTTAAGTACAACCTGGACTATGCAGTAAGTTAGAGGCTAACATGAGTTAGGAATTAAGACCCTGTCTCAAGATGGTCAGCACACAAGCCATACCCAGGACCTTAAGCCTACAGGGCCCCAGGCAGCTTCTCAGGTCACACAGGGAAGGCTGCTCAGTTCTGGCTTCCTCAAGACTCACCCTGCAACCCCCTTTCAGTCTCATGCTGCCTTGGGATTGTTTCTTGATGATTCCTAACTCCCTCTCTCCTGGCTGTAAGCCCGGACTTCATCGCAGATGCAATAGGGGGCTAGCCCAGAATTTGTGTATCACCTGTCTGTGGTGCCCACAGGGATCCCTCTGTCTCCAAGCCCACAGTAGCAGCCGTATCTGTAATTGGAGAAGAAGGCACTGCGCCCTGTGATGTGTTTGACCATCCTCTGGAACTGCCGGAAGCTGCTGAGGGTGGAGGTTATCCCTGCCAAGGAGAAAACAACAAAGGAGAGGAGCCTGAGGGCCCACAGGCCTCCTGGCTAGAGTGCTTGCAGTCCTGAGCTCTCAAGGTGTCAGCCACCTTCACAGGAAAGAAAACAGGATCAGTGTTACTCCATCACACAGCAAGTTTCCTGTTAACCAAGATGAGCCCCAGTCTCCCCAGCTGTCAGGGGTGCTCCTCTACCATTCAGATCTCATCAACATTAACTGGGAAAACTCAAAGCCAGAGGTTCCAGCCAGCCCCTCCTCCAGGCAGTATCAGGCATTTGTAGTCTTCCAGAAGAAGCAAAATCCAGGGGTAAGAATCAGAAAAACACCCTTGACCCAGCCTGTAAAATGGCACTTATACACAGACCCATCAGTTCTTATTATTGTCAATAGACAGGGACTTCTCTTACTACATAACCCTGGCTGGCCTGGAAGGCTCTATAGAGACCAGGCTGGCCTTGAACCTGAGCAGATCCTCCCCCTCTCTGCCTTTTGAGGTGCTGGAATTACAGGCATGCATCAGTAGGCTTTTGTACTCTACGAAATGCTTGCAGACACACAGAGAGATGCATATACAAGGATACCTGCTGGCAGTGTGGTCTATAACTTCAGAGCACTGGAAAGTGCCCCATGTCTACCCATAGGAGGAGAGTCATCAAAGCACTTGCCTTGGAATGCATCACTTTCAATAGCCAAACTCCTGGAAGCGAGACTGAGGCAGAGGGAGAAAGAACCAGGCCACATCCATTTAGCATACTTCCACGTACGTTTTTTACAAACACATTGTGGTGGGTTGAGTAAGAATGGCCCCATAGGTTCATGTATTCAATGCATGGTCACCAGGAGTAGAACTGTCAGGCAAGGATTAGGAGGTGTGGCCTTGTTGGAGGGCATGTGCCACTGGGGGTGAGCTTTGAGGTGTCAAAAGCCCACACCAGGCCTAGTCAGCCTGTCTGTCTGTCTGTCTGTCTGTCTGTAGATTAGGATGTAGCTCTCAGCTCCTTCTCCAGCACCATGCCTGCCTTCCTGCTGCCATGTTCCCTGCCATGATGATAATGGACTAAGCCTCTGAAACTATAAAGAAGCCCCCAGTTAAATGGTTCTCTTTGTAAGAGCTGCCTTTGGTATGGTGTCTCTTTACAGCCATAGAGCAGGGATCAAGGGATATAGTATTTTGAGTGAGTGGGGTGTTTGTGTGTGTGTGTGTGTGTGTGTGTGTGTGTGTGTGTGTGTGTGTTTAAAGGAATGTCCTCCACAGTCTCCAGAGGAGTTGTATTTAGGTGTAGAAAAGTACTAGTCCCGGCTGAACCTTTGTTACTATATATTTTATAGTTTTGTTTTGTGACAGAACAAAAACTTATGTGGCCCAAGTTTGCCTCAAACTTACATGTAACCAAGGATGACCTTGAACTTCCAATTCTCCTGCCTCCACATCCTGCCTGGATTTTTCAGTGTTGGGGACTGAACCCAGGTTTTTGTGTATGGCCAGCAAGTACTCTACCAGCTGAGCTATGTCCCCAGCCCTGCATTTGACTTTTTAAATTATAAGTATATATTTGGTTTGTGATAAAAATACAGCAAAACCATGAACTCAATGAAGGAAAACAGTAACAGTGATAGGGAGGTTTTCTCAAGCTCCCTCCTGCCTCAGTGCCGAGTTAAGATGCCTTGACCTGATTTCTCAATCCTCCTGCCTCCACTTCCCAAGAGTGGAGATTACACATTTGTCATGGTTTTGAAAACTGCAGAGCTCATTAGCAACTCAGGGAAAGAAGGAGAATTAGTTTTGCTATGTCTCACTTACAGAAGCCCAGAGTTACTGCGACATGGCTGAAAGCAGCAGGAAACTGAGGCTGGACAGACAGCTAACCCAGGCACTCAACAAAAGGCTGAGATGCCAGATGATTCCCAGGAGGCCCTTCAGAATGCAATCTGAAGCCTTGGTAGCAGTGACTCAGTTTGACCAAGTATTTCACTAGACATCATCGAGCTGCCTTCCCCAGAATTATTTCAGCTGGCTGGACATGCCTACCACTTTGTACAGCAGTACGCAGAGCTTGAAACAGAGGCAACCAGAATAGGAAGGAAGAAAGCCTCCCAGACTGCGAGTGCAGACACCACAGCCTAACATAATTTTTCCAATATGTGGCCAATGTCCCTGGAGTCCTAGATGCCGTGTGAGGGTCCAACACCATGGTCAGCCCAGCAGACAGAAGAACCAGAGGTAGGAGAACTTTGGAGGGAGCTTGGCTCTCTCCAGAGTGCCTTCTACCCTTCCTTCACTCAATATTACCCAGGAGGGGCCACCCCTGTGACACAGTCTGAAAGATGGCCTCCCGGCACTCTCTCAGGTGGCTTATACTTACAGCAGAAGATGAAGATAATGAATATAGCAATGACCTTCGTTCCTGAGGAGACCAGGAGGTCCGGGGTGCCAGGCTTCTACCTTCATTTGCCAGTTCAGTTCCTTTTGGGGAAGAAAGTAAAGGAAGAGGGCCATTTGGATATAAACCACCAACACAGCCCAGGCCTTTGGATGCCCTCAGCACAGGGCTCTGGGAGATCTTTATCAGAACTAATTATGTTTGAATATGACACCCATCCTGGCACTTTGACCCAGATGTAAAACATAAGAATGGCTCCATTGTTTGAAAATGGTGAATGCTAATGGTGTCTTTCTTTCTCTGGCACACTATCACTCTGGCTGTTTTATTATTTTTGGAGGAGGCAGCAGACTGTGTTCCCAGGTTTAAATGGCATATATGGTGTCCATCATGGGAGTGTGGTTTGGAAAGCCGAATTTATCAGCATCCCAGCCATCTGCAGTGTTTCTCTTTTGACCCATGGTACCACCCCCTCTAGAGCTTTGTTTCTGCTGCTGGCACATGAGATCCAAACCTCTGTGAATAATGTCAAACCTTGACAGTGTCACAGTTATGTCATGAGACCCTCATGTCAGTCTCAGAGTTTCTACCTCCACCTAAGACATGGGATAGAGCCAGGGATTCGGCTCAGCTGTTGGGGTGCTTCCCCAGCACCACAAAGCCCTGGGTTTGATCCAGGCATGGTGGCCTATGCCTACACTCCCAGCACCCAGGAGGTAGATACAGAGGATCAGAAGTTAAAGGCCATCCCTGGCTACATAGCAAGTGTGAAGTCAGCCTGGGATCCATGTGAACCTGTTTCAAGAAACAGATGGATAGATGCATAACTTGCTGGCTGGCTGGCTGGCTAGACAGAGGGTAACAGAAGCACAAAGAGAACAAATAAATTCCTTGCAGTCCTATAGATGTTACTTGTGGTAGAGACCAGCAAGGATAAGGAATATGACAAAGATGTTTTGGGACTAAAACCAAAATCACACATAGCTGTGTCATTCACATTGGAACTATAAAGTCTTCAAAACACCAGTCCTACCACAAGAGCACTCACTGCAAGAGTCTCTGTCTGGCCAACCAGCCAGCTTGACCTTCTTTGATACAACTCAGGTGGATGCTGAGAGGTGGGCCCTGACCAGGCTGTACCTGGCCAATCATCATTTCAACAGCTGTACAAGCTTTTCTAATTAGGTTCTGTCTCCATGGGAACCCAACAAAACCATGCCCAGTTTGGAGCTACAAAGAAAGGACTCACAGTTTTTTGAAGCAGCAAGTGATGAGACTTCAGATACAAAGGGGCCTGGGGTGTGTGCCTGGTAATGAAATCCAGCTGAAGTACCAGCTGTGTATTTGGCTAAGGAGAAGATCCATGGAGGGCCCAAAGGAGGCTGCTGAGCTGACTACAGGTAAACGGAGACCAGGCATAGACCGAAAGCCCCATATGGGCCTCGGCTCCCATCAACAGTACCGCACCCAAGCACAGCTGCCAACTTTGTCATTGCACAAGGGTGCAACGGTGGGGAGCAGTGGTCTCTGAGTCTATGCCAAAGAGAGCTGGAGCTGTCCCAGCATTTCCTGTCAGTGGAACTAAGCTCCAGGACCCCGAGCTTCCTGTCTGTGAAGTGGGGTCAATGTCCTTTGTCTTCTGTGGCGCCAGCAAGATTCTAGATGCTCCTGGTGTGAAAGCACTTGGTCAACATGGGGCCAAGGTGAGTGACAGTTCGACATATTCTGCTTAGCAAGACAGGAAGCATCAAGGCACACTTGGAAATGTTCCACCAAGATGCAGGAAGCAATGGAACTCTGCAGTCCTTCAGGGGCTCCATTTTATTAGCCAGAAACTTCTTTGTTGACTGTCTCCCAGGAAGCTGATTTCTAAGGAGCTATGCAGAGCCACGGAAAAAAACCAAACCAAACCAAAACCAACCAACCAAACAACAACAACAAAAACCAAACAAACAAAAAACTGGACCAGCCACCTTCAGTCAGCTCCAAGAGAGGCCACTTACATTCCAAACTAGTTAGCCTTGGGGTGACAACTGGTGGCTTTCGAGTCTTTCATTACAAGAGCCAGCTGTAGAATCAAGGTCATCCCAAGGTCATCACCAATTTCTCTTTTGCTGGGCATCTATAACAAGCAGGCTTTGTGTGGGCTAAGTGTGGGATCCAGGGACAAACAAGTTCCTGCCCTTGGGCAACTTATCACCTATTGAAGGAGAGTGCCCAGGTAAGATGGAAACAAAATACTTCCATGTGCCAGGCACCATGCCATAGATTATCTCATTCACTCTCATGGCAATCAGTCTTAAAATGTCCATTCTACAGATGTGCAAACTAAGTCTAGAGGAGAAGTTATATACATGCCCAAGGTGTCTTGCAGCAAAGTGGTGGTGCAAGGATTGAAGCTGAGGCTTGGGTTCCACACCCCATGCCTACAAGTCCTGTGGCCAGCGTAGCAGGCAGGTTCAGATGAAGCGCTTGGGAGTATAAGAGTGGGGGTGGTCCACAATGGGCTTTGGGACCAACTGGTTGCCATTTCCCAAAACTGCTCTACTACTCATTAGCAGAAGGCTCTGAGCTCAATCTTTTTTCTTTTCTTTTCTTTCTTTTTTTTTTTTTTTCCAAAGAAGCCCAATGGATGGTGCCTCGGTAGAGGAGATTCACAGACATCCAAGGAGCTGATCAGGGAATGGTGCATGGTGCCATCTTGGGTATGTTATCACAGATCAGAAGGAACTAAAGTACTGCATTGGGGGATCCGGAGACATGGTCAGGAAAGGACTTTGTAGACTTTTTAGAAGGGCCTTGAAGGATCAAGCAGTTTGGACTCACTTTGAAGAGGGGAAGGTGGGACACTGGAGATGAGTACACTAAGGGCCCATTTGGGGGACAAGCTGGCTAGAGCTCAGGAGAGAGCTGGGGAGTAGAGGCATGGTACAAAAAAGATGGTCCCTCACATAAGCAGGCGGGAGAGTGGCCTCCAGCCATCTCCTGAGAATCTAGTGAATTCGCGTGCATGTTCACCCAGGCATCAGAGGGAAAGTTCTTTGAAGATACCCTCTGGTGTGGGTCAGGAAATAAAGAGAGGGAACAGCTGGCTGCCTCTTCCCCACGGGGCTGCACCACACCCTGCCAAAGAACAAAGACTCATGTTGCTGAGCATGAAATGGACCACAGGCATAACAAGCATTTCACCATGCTCCAGCAAGGGCACACGCACACCACTCTCTCACACAGTTGGGGAGCAAGGACTGAAACCGATGCAAATCTCAAAGGATTTCATAATTCATAGGTGATGTGAAAATAGCTGCTGAAGGATCTACTTTAATCTCTTCTGAGTGGGCGCCGCAGGGCTGGAGAGCATCGCCTGGACTTCTGACAGCATCATTAACAAGATGTAAGCCAGTGACACCGTGATGCAAAACAACCAGATGCTAAAAGTACCAGCAGTACCTCCCTCAGGCCATGGATGCCTCCTGGGTATCCAGAGACAGAATGCCCAGAAAGGAGGCCAGCCTAGCCCAGACCCCCATGCAAGGTCAGCTGCTTCCTCTCTGAGATGGGCAAACAGCCCATCACTGAAATGAACCCCTCCATGCCAGTGCCTAAAAAATGTACCATTGGTACCAATCACATCACATGTAATTCCATCCAGCCTACATCTGCTCTCCTACCCTTGGCTCAAACTATATTGGTTATTATTTATAACTGCAAGTATTATTTATAACTAAAATATTATTTGTAACTATCAGCGAACAATGTGTCTCTCTAACTGTGAATGTGCTGACAAGGGTTTAGGGTTGTGCTCACATGGAAATCCCCTGCCTATACATACAAGACAAAGCAGGTAGCAAATGTGTGGCTGTAAGGCTAGGTGGTGAATCTGTGGCTCTTGACTGTCTAGTAGTAACTTCTACCAGTTCAATCACTAAGTTATTCTAAGTGCCTTGAGCAGAGCCTGCTTGGGACTCACCTCAATGCCAGCTTGGGAGGAAGACTTCATTTGACTGGAACAAAGACAGGGAGGAATAGAGCAAATGAAGGGCCAGGACAGGCTGGGGAAGAATCTTCAAACAGATTCAACAGAAGCAAGGGTGTTGAGCCTAGGGAGAGCGAGTGGATGTGTGGCTATGGCCAGGAACCAGCGGAGCACAGCAGAGGCAGTTAACAGGACAGAGTCAGAAGCCAGCCCCTTTCCACTCCAACAGGCCAGAGGCAAGAAAGCAAGGGCGCAGAGGCAGGGGGCTTGCAGGTCTGACAGCAGTCGATGGCTTCTGTTTTTCTCTGCAGAGACCAGGAGAACATCATTCCAAAGGGAGGAGGGGAGGCACAAAGATTCAGAGAGGGCAGAAAACTGAGGAGAACAAACAGAAGGCTGGCCAGGGAGGACTGAGGGTGTGACTGACATTGGAGACCACGCAAGTGCCCTGACATCCCTTTGTGTGACTTGCCATGATATCTTTTGTGCTTGACTGCAGCTAAGGCTCCCTCACAAGGATGGGATGGAATGGCAGTAGGGGAAGGAGGAATCTTACCAAAAAGAATGGCTGAGGTAGTGGGCCATAGCTTCTGAGCAGGATGGGGGAAAAAGCAGACAGGCTGCAGGACTCCAAACCTCAAGGTTGTTGGAAAACACCGTGAAGCGGCCGGAGCTGCTGACTGGATAGGTAACCCCTTAAAGGAGACAGGGAGTGGGTGGCGATCACAAAACTCAGAGAGTGTCCCCAGAGTGGGAGTGGGAAGTCTCTTACTCCTCTGTGACAATACACCCCCCCCCAAAAAAAAAAAAGTTGGACTCCAAGGAATGAGTCCCACAACCCTGTTTTAAAATGAGGGCACTGACAGGGATTTGATGCTGATCACCACCCCCACCCCAGGGCAGGGTTCCCTTTCCCATGAACCCATTCTCCCCAGAGACACAGTCAGGCCAGGTCAGGAAGAGGAGAGGTGGCAGAGGCCCAGGGCCCTGTGGCCTCCAAGGGGCAGGTCCACACCAAGATCCTGCGTGTGGAGTCGGTGAACCATGGACTGTAAGCCCTCTGCTCTCCGTGCCCAGGCTTGTCCAACTTGGCCTGCGCAGGCCTGTCCAGGCCAGGCAGGTTCCGGTCCCACCGGAAGCACGTGGCCCCCCACCCCTTGGCGGTTGCCACGGAGACAGGGCTGTTTACCAGCTGGTTGTGTAGCCAGGCACAGGAGGCGGATGGAGCTGAGCTGCGAGGTGAGAGGCCCATCGTGGGTCCCCAGAAACAGAGAGCCAGGCCGTTTGAGAGGACTTCCCCAGAGGCAGAGCCAGTCTGGCTGGAACCTGAGTTTGCAGCAGCCAAGGGGCCCTCAGGGAGGGGCATATACAAGCCAGACCCTGGACACAGATCCAGAGAGAGAAAAGGGAATCCGGGTCCCGGTCATGTTCTGAGGCAGGAGCTGGAGCAAGCCTCCCACCGCTCCAGGCTCTTTCCTGAAGTTTACCCTCATGCTCCAGCCCTTCCTGCCATAACCTGACACCATCCCCCCCCCTGCCCCCTTCTCACTTTAAACTTTGCTTTTAGGCCTGATGGAGCATGGAAATATAGAAGCCTCTCCCCAGCCCCCTCGCCCACCCTTCTATCCTAGAATCAACCCCAGTTCCCTTCCAAAGCTTCCCTCACTTGGTGGCTTGTGGTTTCCCCGCATTCTAATCTCTGGTTTGGAGTAGCGAGAGCTGGGAATGGTGTCAATCTTCGCTTTCTCCATCCCCCGGGGTTGGTTCTTTTACATAGTTTAATTTTGTGAGCCAGGCTGGGAATTAGGGGGCGGTGGCAGGGGGTGGTGACAGTAACTGATAAACAATTTTAAAAGACCAATGCACATGTATGTGTCTTGGTATGTGCCAGCAGATGGTTTGTAGGTGGTTATATTTTGCTGCTTTCCCTATAGGTTTAGATTTGGGCTGTGGAGTAGTGTGGTCTGACCCCTGGTGGCTTGTGGGCACCAATGGAAAGCAACAGGAATCTTGCTTTATCGTCTAGCCAATGCCTCTTCCTTCCTGTTCGGGCAGTGATAATCCTAAGGAATGGGCACCTGCCCTTCTGGCAACATCTTGGGAATGGTGCCCAGTGTTTTTGTTTCCTGCCTCCTAGCAGGCCTCTGCCTCCTAGCTATTGTGTTTAAGTAAACAGGTCACTTGCCTCTTCGGCTGGCAGCTTGATGGATGCCTACGCCTAGATCTTGTCAAATCACTTTGTGGTTGAGTGTCTGCCAGACCTAGAGGTGGTGAAATGCGCCAAGCAGGGATTATGCTGTCGTGGAAGCCTGGACTGAGGGCACAGGCACAGCTTGGGACCTGGGGTGTGACTGCGAAGGCTCGGTGGATGCAATTCTCCAAACACCTGTTTCCCCACAGCATCCTGCCCTTGTACTGGGTGGGGGTGGGAGCTGGTGCTCCCTCCATGTAACAGATGGTCTCTGCACTGGGGAGGAGGCAGTGAGTTATAAAAGCAGGTTGGATGGAACGGTTTTACCTGAAGGAGGTGTTACTCTCTAAATAGCCATGAGTGGGCTTATGAAAATTAGTCATAATTGAGGTTTATTTTTCCCTCTTGAGATAGCTTACAGTCATGTTATCTTATGACCAGGGTGTCTTGAATATGACACCCCCTGAACATGGCTAATTATATAGAGTACCAAAAGGTATAGCAACTTCACGCACACACTCAAGTTTGACTGTTAAAAATAACCTAGCAGAGTGCCTATGAGAACACATGACTTTCCTCATCAAAGTTGTTAGGGAGAGGTTTCTAAGTTACCAAACTTTCTGACAGTCAACCCTTCTCCAGGCATGTGTGGGTGTTGGAAGCCAAGCCTGTGACAGTTCTGTAGAAGCTGTGGCAAATTAATAGCCATGTCCAAGTGACAAGCTTACCTTTGTCAACCCAGCTGGACAGCTGCGGCTTCCTCCTACCTCTCTGAGCAAGAAACTCATAGAGAACAATATTCTTCATAGCTGATGAGAAAATAAACAAAATGGACAAGGAGACAAGGAGGTATTTCTGATGCAAAACTTTTTGTTCAGGAAGAAGTTTCTGGACTACCTGCTGCCAGATTGGGCATGGAGAATGGAGGAAGGTTTGGGTTGTGTATAGAACAGGACAGTCACAGAGCTGTTTGAACTGTGGAAGGGGGCTGAGGTGATGCCCAATGGCTAAAGCATTTGCCCGAGGAGCAGGATTTAGATCTCCATAACCCATGTATGCGCCTGGTGGGTGTGGCAGTTCATCTACAATCCCAGCCCTGGAAGGCAGAAACAGGATCTTTGTAGCAATTAAGCAAGACTAGCCATATGAGTGGGATTTGGGTTTGGTTGAGAGATCCTGTCTCAGTGAATAAGGTATAAGAGCAATGGAGGATGACTTCCACTGACATCAACCCTGGGCTTCTCTCTCTCTCTCTCTCTCTCTCTCTCTCTCTCTCTCTGTGTGTGTGTGTGTGTGTGTGTGTGTGTGTTGCATATTTGTGGGCACATGTGGCCAGGAATACATAGAGGTAGTATGTTTGGTTCCTTGTGGTTTGGTTCCTTTGGTCTGATAGAGAACACACATAGAGTAGCAAGAGTCCCATCTAAGCCCAAGGACTTGGAACTAAGCCCAAGGATTGAGTTATGGGCGGAGCTTGGAGGAAGTGAATCTGAGGTAAGTGAAAGTGTGCCATCAGTCAGAAGGAAATGATTAACTCAAGACGTGTTTTGTAGTTTTCAGGCAGCTGCATAGGAGGAGGGGTTTCTGACATCAAGCCCATGGCCATTCCATGCAGTGGAGAGGGTAGGTTTGGGGGCTTGGGTCTCCCAACTGTTTAAGCACTGCATAGGAGGAAAGCCATCACCAATACCATCGGGGTATGCTGTAAAGCAGGTGTGTGGACCCACGGCTCACACATGTGTAAGGATAGTTATGAACAAGGCCTGATCATGTCATTTCGCAGTATCAAAGGTTGAACAGGCCTGCTGAAGAGCAATAGGTACAGCTTTGCTCTGTAGTAACAGAGAGAAGTACAAGACCGGCCTACGGTGGGAAAAAGTCACACCCATGCATCTGATGCTGCCCAGGACTGTCCTGCAGAGGTGGAGCTGCCTGGTCGCCACAGACTGAAAAGTCAAAATAGATGCTCTCTAGGTCTAGGTCTTTATGTGGATGCTTGCCCCACCCCCTTGTCCAGAATCTGAGTCTCCCCTGTGAATTCTAGCAGGTGACCAAGGCAGCCTCTGTCCTCCCCCTGCCACCCCACCAAGCTGGGGAGCCATGTTTCACGTGACTTGTGTGGGGCCACCTGACAAGGCGAGGAAGCAAACAAAGTAAGTGGTTGACAGGGAGGGAGAGCCAGGAAGCGGGGAGGGAGAGCCAGGAAGCAGGGAGGGAGAGCCGAGGAAGGCCTGCAGCAGAGGGAGAAAGGGGACTCAGAGGCCAGCGAGGGCAGCGTGATGTCAGGGCAGACAGTGTCCCTTGTAGAGAAGTGACTGGGTGTTGAGTGGAGCTGAGTCTGGGTTGTCCTGACAGAGGTACCTTCCCTCTTTAAGTAAAGGCAGCTCCCCCAACATTCCAGCCTCTGCCAGTGCAGTCTGTGCAGGCCACTGCCTAGGGGAGACTCAGTATGCTCTGCCTGCTGAAGGAGTTCACCTGGACACTTCTGTCCCCCTGACACTTTTCTCATGCAGGGCCCAACCAAACTTCACCAGAACACAGTGCACTCCGTTGAGTGTGTCGCCATGCTGGTTTGTACCAGCACTGTAGACAGAACTCAATCGCTGCAAACCTGTCTAGGGGAAAAGTTGTCTGACCCCGCCGACTCTGGCTGGCCACATGGCTTATTCCTTCTCAGGGTGCTCACCGGCCCTTCTCCATGAGAGTGAATATTAGTCCCCTGCCCCAGTCATTCTGTGTCAGGCCGACTCTCTAATCACTTTTCTCATCTACAGACTTATGGGTTTCACCAGCTCCTCTCCTCACTTAGTAATTTATGTTCCAAGGACATTGGCTCATTGCCATGTTCCAGGGACCAGCAGTGAATGCATCACAGCTGCTCCCCCTCTTCAGATGTCAGAAACCAAGAGAATGGTCCCAAACTCTGGCCCGTTGATGCTCATTCTCCCAGTGAGCAGAGAATGGCAGAAGGGCTAATCCCAGTGTCTCGGGAGCTTCACCCATGGCTTTCTCTGTCTCCACCTGCCTCCTTAGGGGCCCTGAGAAGCAATGGCCAAAGAAGCACCTGTGAACCTCGCACCACCTGAACGCAGCACCGCGGTCGGTACCTCAGCCAACAGCTTCATCTGGCAGCCCAGCTCCCTCAGGATGCATGTCATTAGGCCCAAGTCTGCTAAGGGCCGGAAGCGGCCAAATCTGCACAGACCACAAGGCATGGGCGATGGCTCACCCACTGTGCTGTCTGCTTCGTCTCCACCATGTTCCTCTGGGTCACCAAGCAGCCAGAAACCAGGAGCCTGTGCACCCGTGTCTCCACCTCAGGGAGCCCCTGATGAGATGCCGGAGCTGCTGCCACAGATGCCCGTGGGGGCCACCTCATCACTCAATAAGTACCCAGTCCTCCCTTCCATCAGCAGGAGAAGCCTGGAGGACGGGGCTGTGGACACGGTGGCCAAAAAGGCCAGCTCTCTGCAGCTGAGTAGCGTCCAGGCCCTTTACCAGGAAGAGGCCCACACCACTGTAAAGTCAAGCCAAGAAGACTCCAGAACCCAAGTCTGTGCCTCGGAGAAGAAATTCATCATCCGAACCAAGATACAGAGTTCTTCTGGTGCCTCAAACATGGAGGAGCCAACAGACCGAGAGCCGAGGCTGCTGCTGGCCATCAGGTCACCCTCAGGCCAAAGGTTCGTGCGCTACTTCAGGCCCAGTGACAACCTCCAGACTATCCTCACAGTGGCTGAGCAGAAAAACAAAGCCACCTACCAACACTGCAGCATCGAAACGATGGAGGTGCCCAGGAGACGTTTCTCTGACCTCACCATGTCCCTGCAGGAGTGTGGTATCCTCCATAAGTCCGTGCTGGGCATCTCCCAGGAAGAGGGGGAGGGGTGGCCCTGAGCCCACAGCACCAGGCTGGGGCCCCAGGTCTTCGAACAAAGAAAACGCTGGGGGAGCTGAAGCCTCCCAGCCTGGTTTTATGTGCCACATGGGCCCACAGAGCTCAGACCCTCAGGTCTTGTAGAGCATGTCTGTGGAGGCAGGGGCGTACCTGCAAACGGGCCGGGCGGAGCTCCCTGGGAAACTCCCTTCTAGCCCCACGGTCTACCACTACAGCCCCAGGGAAGTTGTAAGGCCCAAGACGTCACTGCTGGCTCCTCCCAGAACTGGTTCCTTCTAGAGCACCTGCTGCCTGAGCCGGGTCTCTCGAAGCCAACTCTTTGCTTCTCTGTATATGACATGAGATTAAACACTTCCCAGAGAGGATTCTAGTCTAGTAAATAACCAGGGTTTAGGAATTATGGAACTGACATTGTTTTTTCTTGTAATATTGTAAGAAACAGGCTGTTGATCCTGTATTTGGAAGCAGCCTCCCTCCCAAGCTGCAGGAGCGGCGATCCCTGGGGAATCCCTATTGGTATGAGGTGGCAGCAAAGGGAAGAATGGTCTTCTGCTGTCACAATTCTCCCCAAAACACACACACGCATACATACACCCATACACACACACACACACACACACACATATACACATGCATACACACACACTCACACACACATACACACACATATACACTCACACACACATATACACACACACACACACACACACACCCTGTTCTAAAATGTCCTAGAGCTAGCCCAAATAAATTGCCTCCACAGTCATGGGCTAGCCAAGGCTATTTTTGAATGGACTGACTAGGTTGGCACTTTTTGGTAGGGCCTGACTACAGAATTCTTCCAAAATGGAAGTAAAATATGCAGTCCTCTGTTGTTCTTTAAGATGCACACAGCTACAAGTCTGTACAAGTTTGTGCTAACAGCCCCGTGGCCTACTCAGACATAGGTAATTTGTTTTATTCCCCAGTCTCATGTCTCACCCACTTCAAAAGTGGAAGGGCTTTGACACAACATCAGTGCATCCTGGGGTCTGATGTCGGGCCCTCCACAGGAGAAAGAACGGGGCTCACTGAGGTCTCTCATCTGTGCTCCTGTTGAGGTCATGCTATGCAGCTGGCTGAATGGCATGGAGTTCCCTGTCTCCCTTCACCAGAGCATCTGCCACAAGCACAGTAGAGTCCTGTGTTTTTCCTGTGGGGACACAGATTATTTGCCAAAGTTCTCTTGTATTGCAGGTTCAGCCAGACACCCACACCTCATCTGCATCCCTTTACTGCCAAATCCCCAATTGGAGTCAGGAACACAGAGACCTTCTGAGCACCTTGTCCCCCTTAGGGCATAGTCACTGCATGGCCCTGGGTCCTAGTACCTGCCCCCACACCCTCAGTACACAGACAAGATAGGATCCAGGTGTTCCTGGAGCATCCTCTGAGCAGGGGCATCTTGTGCACAGACAACACCAGCGGTTAGCGATGTCCTTCTCACTGCACTGCCCCTTGGTGATAGCTATGACTACTCTGAACAGGCTGGCTCATCCTCCCTAAGCCACCTCCCCCACCACACAGATCCCTCTAGACTAGGATATTCCTGAAGATTTGCAAGATTTACCAACACACCTAGGTCCATGGTTCCTTTAATGGGAAAGGTCAGCTGGGGCTGGCTTTGATGTGGGCTGGTCCATGCAGCTGGTCACCTCATCTACTCAGTGACCATGGCAGAAGGGACTGGTGGCTTGGGCTTGGACTCCCCCACGACAGGTGTTTTACTTCTCCTTCAAGTGGACAATTCTGACTCTGATCTAAGAGCCTATAAAAATCACACCTACTCTGAGGCAAGAATAAGATCCCACCCACCCACATGCAGCTGAGGGATTCCAAACTTTAGAATGTTCCCGTGAGAAATGTAACACACTTGATGGATTGAAAGACTTGTGGACATATGGTTTTGTTGCTGCTAATTGGCTTGGGATTTTGGGGTGGTGGGGAAAAAGGGGGCGCACAAAGCATAGGAATATTTTAGAAGACACGATTAAAGCTAGATTTGAGCTATCATAATGATCTCTCTTTTTCTCTTCTTGGACAAAAGATAATGATACGAACAATAAAAGCTGATTTGTGTGAAGCACTGTGTGGAGAAACACATCTTATGGTTTAGCCTAAGACTTGAGCCACCAGACAGGCGTGCACAGAATGACTTATGAATTTCATCTTCAGGTGTCTGCCTGGGAAACTGGGAAATCAACTGTCCTGCCATGGCAGCCAAGCTCCCCACCAAAAAAAAAAAAAAAAACACATACCAACCCTAACCACAGAAGCCCCACCACACCTGCTTGAGAGTCTAACCTAGTATGTAGCTTGGGAAGAGCCCCCCTCCCCCCGCCCATCTTCTAACAACTCCTGTGGCATCAGGGTACCCTGGTCTAAGGAGCCTTGCTGGCCAGCATGTTCATCCTTGTGGTCCTTGATAGGCCATCCTTGCCTGCTGTGTGGTCACAGATCTTAGTCATTGGTTTAATCAACAGTCAGCTGAGGGGTCTCCCCTGGGACAACTTAGTGGTCATCATGAGTAACCCCCCTCCAAGAGACTGTTAACAAGAGAACACAACTCCACTGAAGTCAGTCAGTGGCTTGGTTGGATCTGTGACAGGCCCAGCATTGGGGGAGGGCCAGACTCTGTCCCACTGTGTCTTCCTCCCACCACTTCCAAACACATTATCTCCCCCTTCCCCAGGGTACCGGGAAGCTTTCTCATCATGGACTTGGGCTTCACAGAGGACAGAGCTTCAGAACAAGCCAGTCCAGCATATTTTCCACTGAAGCAGTATAGGTACATTAGTCTCGGCAGCAGCAAGAAGAGCAGCAGGAAATGACTCATCACCTAGACTCCAACAACATTTGCATTGACAGATGGCAGGCAGCTCTCACACAGCCCTTACCCTGGCTATACCTGGGGATGTGGTCAACAACAGGGTCAGGGGTGCCCTGTCAGAGAGACAGCCTGGGAACACGACTGGGTCATTCCCAATGAGTGCCCTGAAGGAGGGGAGACCCTAGCCTCACTCAAGTAGCTAAGCTTTCCTGGCTTATTGCCATCTTAAGTGGGTTTCCATGTCAAAACCACTCTACCCAATACGTTTCTCTTTTTTCCCCCCACCTCTTTGCTGTAAGCTGGGAGCTCTCAGTTTCTTGGTGTCCAGGGTATCATTTAGATGAGCCTTTCATGTGGTGAAATTCATTTCTCTGCCTTCTGAGTGGACTGCCTGGATAGGCTCCTGGTTTGACATCACCTTGGAAGTCTTTAATCAGACAGAGCTATCTGTTCCCTTCACCCACAGCCACACATATCAATGGTGGGGTGACAGTTAAGCCTAGAGCCCTACTTAATCACTACACGAGAGAGCCAAGCCACAAGCCACATCGTGGTGGGGAGACTCACTGTGGAACCCAGGCAATGGAAGCAGAATTCACTTTCGGTGAATCAGCTACCAACATGCAAGTCAGTAGTTCCCATTGTTTTTATATGTATTTTAAAAGTCAGCTGTTCTCCCTTTTGTCCACTCTAGTGATGTGTCACTTCTTTTCCTGATTAAGGACGTTCTTCCCAGCCCACTCTGACATCCTCTGTCTTCCTGTATGTTCAGACATTCAGGAACCATTTGCTCTCCTGAATAGTCAACACAGACGAACAAACCAAGGTATTTCTGGACAGTTAAATTCTATCCTAAAGTGCCAAACAGCCGTTCACTGGTGGGTGAAATTCACCCAGGCTTATCCAGCCTGTGCTGTCTGGAGAGGTACTCTGGCTCCTGGCTAAGTAGACTGGAGGGGTTAGGGTGGAAGATGGAAGATCGACTCCTAGGGGTGGATAATAACTAGACAAGAGGTGGGAGTGGTATCCTAGGCTCCTGAGAGGTGGTTAGATTCAGGATACACAATCTCTTTACTTTGGAAAGGAAAAGGAGTGTAGCGAACAGGTTGGGATTTTCTTGAGCAAACCCAACCACTATCTTTAACGTGGACTTCCTGCAAAGACAAACGCAAAAAACACTCAAACCCACAGCAGGCAGGGATCAGTCTGAGCATTAGCAGAGTTCATATAAAGGGAAGACACCAAAATTTATGGATGAAATGTGTGAAAAGAAATAAGGCTATTAATTGCATTCATTGAAGAAAAATGCACCCACAAAGGTCACTGACACATCCAGCATTCAGGTCCAAGTTGACACTAATTGCCATCTCCCTCCACAGGTGTGATCTCTGACCAATGTAGCTTTGAAGACACCTGTTCCAAGGAAGCATCGTAGGGCTCCTCAGCTCTTCCATTCCTCCCTCCCTTGCTTCCCCTCATTTCATTTATCTAAACCCTGAAGCTGATTTGGAACACACAGCTCCTCACTTAATGAGCCTCCCTCCCAATTTTATACCTTTCATGCCTGCCTGTTGACAATGAGGGTCCCAAGGCTTTGGGTCTTGGTCCTTTGGTGACCAACTGAAAACTTCCCTTTCTGATATCTGTCCCTTGTGACAGGAGATTGCTTGTTCTGACTCATTAGCACTTCCAGCAGACAGCTTGGGTCTGTGTGAGCTCTAGTCCCCTGTTAGGAACGATCTGAGAAGAAACCCTATTAGCAGCAACTCCTGAATGCCAGTAGGAAAGTAAGACCTGGGAACTGTTATGCATAGCCTATCCCTATATCCAATCATGGGATACTGTGATGTCCACCCTGGATCTGGACTCTGAGGACAGGGGATTTCCGACATCTGGGCCTCTGCCTCTTGCTCTTTTCCTCTTGACAGAGTTCCCAGTAGACCTCCCTGTATTCAAATCGACAACACATTAACTCAACAAATATGTATTAGGTACCTACATGCCAAGCATATTAGATCTATCAGGGGACAGAAAAGGGCTCAATCTCTGTCCTTAAGGAAGTTATGTTTGGTAGAGGAGGAGACAGGAAGTTAGTGAAAGCCGTAATGCATGATGCAGAATGGTAGAAGAGAAGTGGCTACCAAGAATCCAAGACAAGGACCAGGTAGGTGGCTCCACAACTCAGGGGAAGTAACCAGCTTCTGGGACTCCAGTCAATTTCTCTTCCTTCCTTTCTCCCTCTGCCTTTGTTTTTTGCAGGACATCTTGTTACTTCCAGTAACCCAGAACTTGATATGTAGCTGAAGATATCCTTGAACTTCTGAATCCTTGTATCTCTCTACCTCCCAAATGCTAAGATTATAGGGATGTGTGCTACCACACCCTGTTTACGAAGTGCTAGGGATCAAACCCAGGGCTTGGCACACTCTAAGTGAGCACTGTACCCACTGACCCACATCCCCAGACCATGTTTACGTTTTACAAAAATAATACATTTATTGTAACCATATTATTAAAGTCAATGCTGACCTCTAGTATGCATCATCTTTATTATATATTATTTCCCCAGCCCCCCCCCAAAAGAGGCAGGGGCTAATTCATAGTCAATTGTAGCCTGCCCCTCAAACAAAGCATAAGTTGTTTGATGATGTGAAAATTAGGAAGTATAGAGAAGATTGACAGGGGAAAGAAAACCATCCACAACCTCTCTAGTCATAAATTGCCATTGGTAATATCTCAGCATGTATTTTTTTTATCCTTAAAGATTAAGTTTATGTTGCATATTCCTTTCTTGCCAATAGACACAATGCATATTTTTAACATCTGTGTTCCTAGCAAAAGCTTGCATGTTCTCATTCCAAGTTTCTAGAGGCTCGTGGTTATTTTAAGATTGATAATATCTCAGTGTGCTAATGTCTTATCATCATTGAACTATCTCCTTTTGTTGTTGTTGTTGTTGCTGTTTGGTTGGTTTTGTTTTTCAGGGACGGGGTTTCTCTGAGTATTCTTGGCTGTCCTGGAACTCACTCTGTAGACCAGGCTGGCCTCGAACTCAGAGAGCCTTCCAGGTGCTGGGATCAAAGGTGTGTGTTACCACCGCCTGGCTGAACTTGTTCCTTTCTATGCCTCTCCCAGCTTTGTTTTTAACCACAGAAGTCAACACTAAAAGTCGTCTTTTATGCCGCTTTTGTGTTTGGAACCTCTTACATTATTTCTTCAGGACAAACACCCAGAAAGACAGTCAAGGGGTTTATTTTGGTTTTTCTCTGTAGCCCTATGGCCCAAATGGGCTTTGAGCTTGCCAGCCTCCTGCCTCAGACTGGGAGCAGATAGGATTAAAGACCCTGGGCTTCAGGCCCAGTGACGTTGCTTTGCTTTTTAAATGGCTACAGAGCAAAGCAAACAGGAGCTTAGGCTATTGCTTTTTATAATTCCCCATCATTTTTTAAGTTGGAAATAGAAACTAAACAGTTTCTTAATTTTGGATAGCATTGGCTGCTACTAATTATTAACATTTTTCATGTCTTAAAAGATACTTCTAAAATTAGTGTGTGTGTGTGTGTGTGTGTGTGTGTGTGTGTGTGTGTGTGTGTACACCTTAATGAGTACTTAATGAGTATGTGGAGGCCACAGGGCGACTTTTGGGAGTGGGTTCTCTCCTTCCAGGGTTGGTTCCAGGATTGAACCCAAGTCACCAGACTTATGCTACCTGCAGAGTCATCCCACACAATGCACTTTTTAAAGCTAACATGGAGGGTCCAAGAAACAGTTGGGCAGTTAAGAGTACTGCTGCTCTGGGGGCTGGAGGGATGGCTGGAGGAACACTCGCTGCTATTCTAGAGGATCAGGATTTGATTCCCAGGTCACACATGGTAGTTCATAACTGTCTGTAACCCCAGTTCCAGGGGATGTTCTGGCTCCTGCTAGCACCAGGCATGCATGTGGTGCACAGATACATATACAGGCAAAGCACCACACACATAAAATAAATAAAATTTAATTTAAAAAAATAGTACTTGCTGTTCATGGAGGACCTAGAACCTATGAGATGGCTCCTAACTGTCCATATTTAGTTCCTGGGAATCCAAAGCCTCTTCTGGCCTCTTAAGGGAACTGCACACAGGTTGTTCATACACACACACACACACACACACACACACACACACACACATCCCTGCAGGCAAAATACCCATACACATAAAATTGGAATTTTCTGGGTGTGGTGGTGCTTACCTTTTATCCCTGCACTTGAGAGGC